GTGGGAGGAAACCGGAGTACATGGAGGAAACCCACGCAGGCACAGGGAGAACATGCAAACTCCAGGCATATTTCTTTATTTTATTTATTCTTAGTATTTATATAGTGCTGACAATTTACATATATACAGTATATTGTACATTCACATCAGTCCCTGCCCTTAACCACTTCAAGTCCGGACACTTTTAACCCCCTTCCTGTCCAGGCCAAGTTTCAAATTTCAGCGCTGTCACACTTTGAATGACATTTGCGCAGTCATGCAACACTGTACCCATATAAATTTTTTGAGACAGATAAAACTATTTTGGTGGTCCAAAAGTTTTGAAAAAAAGTGTTTTTATAATAAAATTTTGCAAATAAATAATCTTTCTTCATAAATCTTGGCCACAATGTATTCAGCTATCTTTTTAGTAAAAAAAATTACCCAAATTAGTTTATAACCAAAAATTATAATTTTTAAAAAAATTTTTTTTACATTTTTCTTTTAGTTTTTTTTATATTATTTATGTTTTTTTTTTTTACATACTGTCACCCTAGCAGTACAGTGTCATCATAGTGACACTGTACTACTTGTAGGGGGTGATGAAGATTTTTTTTTTTTACACTGATTGCTTTTACAGCCTTTATGGGTGTAAAAGCAATCATTTCTCTTTCTCTCTGGCTGCATTCTTGCAGCCATTGAGAAATACTGTGTGAGCTGTGATTGGTCTCAGCTTGTCACATGGTGCAAGGCTGTTGTGAATAGCCTTGTACCATGTGACCTCTGTGATCATTCACAGATTTCACTAGTAGTAAGCAATGATGTCAGAAGTGACATCTTCCTTACTACTGTTCATGTGATCACTGATTGGCCAATCAGTGATCACATGATCGGGACCTCACACAGAATGGTGAAAAATGTAAATTAGATGCATCTGTCAAATAGGTGCAGAAAAATTGGACCTCAAGTGCCCTGTCCATGATTCCACGCAGCGTGTGCTCCAGCAGGAAGACTAGAGGGATAGTGTCACTGATGCATCCATTGTCGTGGAACACCATCCTTATGGCCTCCTAAAATGGTGACAGGACAGTGCATTCATCCTTTATCAGAAGCCACTGACGTGGCGAAAAGAAGCCAAGCTGCCCTGAGCATTCAAATTGCTGTGCATTCTCCAGCAGCATATAACTGACACTATGATCAAATAATTCTGGTGACTCCTATGTGCATGATGGTGGGGCTATGGAAGGAGCAGCTGTGGTGGACAAGGTGCCTGTGGAATAGGCCGCTGTGGTGGAAGGCAAAATAGTGTGAGCCTGGGTGAAGGAGCATGAGGAGGATGAGGATGGCTTAGTTATCCTCTCCACCACCTCTTCTGAATGTTGTGGCTCAATAATACGGCCAGCAGCAGAAAAAAAGGACAAGCATGCCTTGCCTGCACCATGTCCACGACGACCATTTTTCACTGTGGACACAGAGGCTGCTAGTGGCCATTGGTGTTAGCAGTTAGTAAATCATTAGTGAGTTTTAGTAGGACAGTTGCAGTTGAGTGTAGTGAGTGAAATCAAGACTGTAAAGGGTCCAGAAGGTTGTTGTCAGTGAGGTAGGAGCTCAGGCAATTGTAAACTAGGTGTTCTAAGAGTTTAGAGGAGCAGGGGAATGGGTCTTAAGTTGTTCAGGTTGGTGGGGTCCAGGGAGGGTTTTTTTAAGTATGAGAGTGATGTGTGCATGCTTCAGAGGGGAGGGGAAGGCACCATTAGAGAGGGAAAGATTGAAGATGTGTTTGAGGGAGCATAGGATGGAAGAGGGTGACCGTAGTAGTTGAGGGGACAGGATCCAGGGGCCACATGGTGAGATGGGCTTCTAAGAAAACTTTAGTGATCTCTTGAGTAGTAGCAAGGTCGAAAGAAGAAAGTTTTGAGGGAGGTTTTGTATAAGGTATGCTAAGTGGTATAGATGTCTGTGCAGTGGAAATGCCCCTACAAATTACATCAACCTTGTTTTTGAAATGATTTGCAATCTCGTAAGCAGTGAGTGAGGTACTGGGTGGAGGTGGAGGTGGAGAAAGTAGAGAGTTATAAGTAGAGAAGAGACCACGAGGACTGGATGACAAGGTTTCAATAAGAGTGACAAAGTAGCCTTGTTAGGTGGCATGGAGGGAGGAATTGTATGTTAAGAAAGCAGATTTATATAGAGTGAATGCTTGCTGAGATTTAGTTTTACTCCACAATCGCTCCAGTGCACGACTATGTCGCTTAAGATTTCTGCTGTCGTCAGTCTGCAACGGTTGTAATGGTAGGGGCCTGATGCTTCATGTAGGTAGTGGAGCAAGTGATGTATAGACCTCTATATTAAAATGCTGTACTATTTAACAACCAAACGTGGTGCTCTGCACCCAGCATTTCATCTAACCCAGCAATGGGCAAACTACGGCCCGGGCCATATACGGCCCGGCGGACCTTTTAATCCGGCCCGCAGTCAGGGCAGGCAAACAGGGTGTGTGTAGGCGGGGCAGCGTGACTAACGTGAGGGGAGCTAGGCTCCTCTCACAGTCCGCCCTGAAGACCGGAACGGCGCGGGAGCACGGCGAGAGGAACGCGCGGAGCAAAGGTAAGTGAATTGACACAGGGGGGACTTGGCTTACTACTTGGGGGGGAATAGTACTGTGGGGGATGAAATACTATATGAGGGATGAATTAATATGGGGGATGAATTACTATATGGGGGATGAATTACTATATGGGGGATGAATTACTATGGGGGATGAATTACTATGGGGGATGAATTACTATATGGGGGATGAATTACTATGGGGGATGAATTACTATGGGGGATGAATTACTATGGGGGATGAATTACTATATGGGGGATGAATTACTATGGGGGAGATGAATTACTATATGGGGGATGAATTACTATATGGGGGATGAACTACTATATGGCGGATGAATTACTATGGGGGATGAATTACTATATGGGGGATGAATTACTATATATGGGGGATGAATTACTATGGGGGATGAATTACTATATGGGGGATGAATTACCATGGGGGATAAATTACTATATGGGGGATGAATTACTATGGGGGATGAATTACTATGGGGGATGAATTACTATATGGGGGATGAATTACTATATGGGGGATGAATTACTATATGGGGGATGAATTACTATGGGGGATGAATTACTATATGGGGGATTAATTACTATGCTTACTATGGGGGAATATTACTATACTTACTATGGATGACACATACACATCATTCATCTACTCTTGGTCCGGCCCCCGGGTCCAATATATGAACCCATTGCGGCCCTCAAGTCAAAAAGTTTGCCCACCCCTGATCTAACCTCTAACTTGTTATTTCGATAAGCCCTATAAAAGAAATGTATTGCAGAAGAAAAACCTTGTGGGCTAACAGGTCATTTTTTTTGTGTATAGATTTTTTGAGATCCATGTACCTTGTGGGGTGGCAGGTCCTCTCTCTGCATACATTATTTTAAAAGATGGCCCTCTTTCTATTATTCTAGAAAGTTTGGAGGGATTGACATCAATAGTTCAATGGCAAAAGCTAAGCAAAAAAGTGGCATTCACTCTTTAGTGGTAATTATAGTTATTTACTTTATAGAAAATCTATGAAGCTGCCATCATATGATGGAAGGCTGGCCATGTAACAGCCAAGATCAGTCAACAGACACGCTGTAATCTTGTTAGGCCACATCGGATAGCAGCCTCCTCTGTCTTCTCATCGCAGCAAGGAAATCATATCCTTTGGTCAGCAAATGTGCTCAAGCTGCTTGATTTATTACATTCCAATCTTCAAAGAAACACCACAACAAGCTGTTTTGAAGCTTCAAAGGTTTCCCTGCAGCCTTTCCTCCCAAACATACTGATAGAGACTCCTTAACTTTCATCCTCCACACAGGTTTTCATCCAAATGTCCATCACCCATACAAACCAATGTCAGCCAGGAAAGGCCAGCACAACATTTCTGGGTCATTAACCACTTCCAGACTGGACACTTTTTCACCCCCTTCCTGACCAGGGCAATTTTCAGCTTTCAGCGCTATCACACTTTGAATGACAATTGCGCTGTCATGCAACACTATACCCAATTGAATTTTTTACCCTTTTTTTGAGACAGATAAATCTTTATTTTGGTGGTATTTATTCACCGCTGGGATTTTTATTTTTTTTTGCTATGTAAATGAAAAGTCCAAACATTTTGAAAAAAAGTGTTTTTTTTATAAAATTTTGCAAATAAATAATATTTCATCATAAATCTTTGCCAAAATTTATTCTGTTATCTTTTTAGTAAAAACACAAATCCAAATTAGTTTATAACCAAAAATTATAATTTTTTAAACTTTTTTTTTACATTTTTATTTTTTTTTTTATATTATTATTATTTTTTTTTTTTACATACTGTCACCCTAGCAGTACAGTGTCACCATGGTGACACTGTACTACTTGTGGGGGGTAATGAAGATTTTTTTTTTTTTTTTACACATTGCTTTCACACCCATATAGGATGTAAAAGCAATCATTTCTCTTTCTCTCTGTGTGCATTCTTGCACTCATTGAGAAGTACTGAGTGAGCTGTGATTGGTCACAGCTTGTCACATGGTACAAGCCTGTTGTGAATAGGCTTGTACCATGTGACCTCTGTGATCATTCACAGATTTCACACGTAGTAAGCAATGATGTCACAAGTGACATCTTGCTTACTACTTTGCATGTGATCACTGACTGGCCAATCAGTGATCACATGATCGGGACCTCGTACAGAGGTCCCGTCCGATGATCGGTGTTTCACTGTGTCCAGAGGACACAGCGGGCACCGCATCGCGGTGCTGCGCGCTCCCAGGGAGCGCGCACAAGCAGGGTGCGGGAGGCCGTTTGTAAACGGCCACCCGACCCTGCATTGCCACCGTCCAGCCATTTATATGCAACGGCCGGTCGGGAAGTGGTTGAAGAACTCTCAGTATAACTATTAAAATTGACCTTGCAGTAACCTTACAAGCAGGGGCGGACTGACAACTCATGGGGCCCCTGGGCAATAGGGGATCATGGGGCCCCTGTGTCCTTGCCCAAACTCAAAAAAGCCTATGAAAAAGGTACCAGGGGCATCTCATGGGGCCCCCTACTGACCCCGGGCCCTCGGGCAGTGCCAGAGTTTCCAAATGGTCAGTCCATCCCTGATTACAAGTTTGCATGAATAAATCCTTGACATGTCACAATATACATCAGTATTTCCAGGGTTGTAACAACAGATAATGGGGCCCCATATCAAAATTTTGATGGGGCCTCCTGGAGACCTCCCTCTTGTTATTGGTCCTAACATACATGATCAATGACAGGTAGCAGGAGAGTAGTCAGCATAGTCATGTCCAAACTGGAACAATGTGACTATGTAAAAATAAACCATGCCTGGAATTTTTAAAAGCCCCCACTTCGAGTTTACTTTCCACAAAACCTTTATGCTATGCCATTATCACCTTATAAAGTTATATTTTTTATATATTATAAAATGATAAAAAACAATATGCTCATTTCAATGAACCCTACTGTAGCACTATCCCTTTAGGAGTTGGTGAAGATTTGGGTGCCCTATGGTCCTGGAAAGCCAGGCAACACTTTTTCATTAGACTTGAATTCCAGCTTTTATACAGGAGACAGTAAACAGTCCTTGAGCTTGGTTTTTTTAAGTTTTGTTAGAAGTATTTGAACTTGGATGGAGAAAGGGGTATATGGGATGCCCAAGGAACAGTAAACTGAGGACAGCTTCCTGGCAACTATGTACAAGTCTTTTTACAGCAAAGGTTCTTTCTTGGAGAACTCTCCAGCCTATCCTGGTGTACCACCCCCAGACCCCGGATGAATCCTCTTCTCATCCAGCTATATAGAGGAAATCTCTGTGAAGGGGAACCAGTGCATGCCGCTTTAATCTGAAGCGGTCCCCCGGTAAAGAGCTAGTCAGGATTTCCACTAAAATGCCCCTCTCCCCTTGACTGGCCCAGAGGGTGTAGGATTACTCACTCTTCCTTTTTCCTGTGTGCTTTTTGGGTTGGTATCTGCCTTCACGCCCCCCGCTGGGCTGGTCCCTTCCCTGCTGCACAAGCGGTCCTCTCTCAGGGGACCCCTGTGGTACAGTGATCCTCCTTTCTTGCTCCTCGGCCTGTAGGTAGGTATTTTCCCACTGAGCCCCAGACCTCCCAGGCTCCTGCCTCTCAGCCTGTTTCAAATCTTCCATCCAAACTCTCCTGCCTCTGAGCAGACTCAGTCAATCTTAAGGGCTGTCTTGACCCCATGCCAAGCCTCCTGCCTGGGGGGATTGGCCATGATCACAAGAACCTCAAGCGTGCAGACCAGCTCCTCCTCACCCACTAAGTTCTAGAGACTTCTAAGCCAAGTCTCTAGATCAGGAGGGAAGTGAAATCAATGAGCCTCTCAGCCCTGACCTGAATTTGACCCTGTTTCTGACTATCACCCAGACTGCTCCATCTCAGCCTTATAATTAAGCAAAAATAATTAGCTAGCTCCCTCTAGAGGAAGATCTGCATGGAGGAATGGCCAACATACCAGCAACAGTGTGTGCCAACCTTTGTGAAGACTTACAGGAAAACGTTTTGACCTCTGTGTCCATTGCCAACAAAGGATATATAACAAAGTATTGAGATGAACTTTTTCATATTGACCAAATACTTATTTTTCCACCATAGCTAACTAGCATGGAGGAATGGGCCAAAGAAGGGTGCTACACTACTTTTCAGCTATAAATAGAAATAGATAGGTACCTGTGACTTCATTTTCTTATCATACTTTGTGCCATTTAGTGGCCTAATGTTCCACTCTAAAGCAATGAAAATCAATTGACTAGCACATGAAATAGCGTAAGAACATTTGTTTTCTGCCCCAGTTGCACAAAATTAATGTACATGCACTTTTACTTGACAGGTTTTTTATTGTGGATTTATATATGTTTATTTTATTTTGCTGATTTATATGTTCATGATGATCATATTTTGATCAGCGCAGCCCTTTTCATTCACACCAATGTGTTACCTTTGTCAAAAAATAGCAAACACCTACTAGCACAGGGATCCCCACTTTAGGTTCTCTGAGTATGGAAAGGAGTTGCTGAAAGGTTCAAAGAACCCCTTTACTTTCCCTACAAATAACCCTATTACCACAAAACCCACCACAGAACAGTAGTCCCTGTATGGGGACATCTCAGATGCGGTCATGCTGCTTATGGTCAAATAAAGGCATTTAAAAGTGTTGACGGTTCCAGTCCGTGGCTTGTGCATTATTGTTTCCTTTGAAGCACTTAGCAGAGATTTTATTTAACCAAAGTGCTAGGATTCTTTAAGTGCTTTCAGGTCAGCAACACTGTTCTGGCAAATTTTAAAGATTTGCAGGTAATTAAGTATAAGATGTGGGGACTCCCACTGCATTCTTGTCCAGGGGCCAGTTTCATGGTAGACTTCTACTGATAGAAAGCACTCGGTGTTCAAGACTGTAAGGTATGCATACAATGTGCAATGTCTCCAGCATTACAGATGTAACATATTACTAGATTGCATCTCTTATTTCCCAACATATCAACACAGAGATTCATCTCTCCCAATTCTGCTGTATGTCACTCATGTTCATAACATGTCTCAGTTTCTATGTTACCCTTAAGTTTTTGAGAAGCCCTGACAATGAACTTCTCATATTTGCTCCCTTTTGGCCTGTTAAAAATACAATTTTTAAAGTATTTTGATTTTTTTTTTATTTCAGGTACCTTATAGGGCCATCAATCTATGCAGTGCTTTACACATATACACTATATTGCCAAAAGTATTGGTCGGCCTGCCTTTACATGTACATGAACTTTAATGGCATCCCAGTCTTAGTCCGTAGGGTTCAATATTGAGTTGGCCCCGCCCTTTGCAGCTATAAAAGCTTCAACTCTTCTGGGAAGGCCGTCCACAAGGTTTAGGAGGGTGTCTATGGGAAGGTTTGACCATTCTTCCAGAAGCACATTTGTGAGGTCAGGCACTGATGTCGGATGAGAAGGCCTGGATCGCAGTCTCCACTCCAATTCATCCCAAAGGTGTTCTATGGGGTTGAGGTCAGGACTCTGTACAGGCCAGTCAAGTTCCTCCACACCAAACTCACTCATCCATGTCTTTATGGACCTTGCTTTGTGCACTGGTGCGCAGTCATGTTGGAACAGGAGGGGGCCATCCCCAAACTTTTCCCACAAAGCTGGGAGCATGAAATTGTTCAAAATGTCTTGGTATGCTGACGTTTTAAGAGTTCCCTCCGCTGGAACTAAGGGGCCAAGCCCAACCCCTGAAAAACAACTCCACACCATAATGCAGGTACAATGCAGTCAGGCAAGTACTGTTCTCCTGGCAACCATCAAACCCAGACACGTCCATCAAATTGCCAGACAGAGAAGTGTGATTTGCCACTTCAGAGAACACATCTCAACTTCTCTAGAGTCCAGTGGCAGCATGCTTTACACTACTGCATCCGATGGTTTGCATTGCACTTGGTGATGTAAGGCTTGGATGCAGCTGCTCGGCCATGGAAACCCATTCCATGAAGCTCTCTACACACTGTTGTTGTGCTAATCTGAAGGCCACATGAAATTTGGAGGTCTTTAGCTATTGGCTCTGTGGACAGTTGGTGACTTCTGCACACTGTGCGCTTCAGCATGCTGTTGTTCCCAGTTGCTTCCACTTTGTTATAATAATATGTTATAATCAGCTGAAGTAGCGTGATTTCAAATCTGCTGGTCAGTGCGATTTCATGTGCAACTTGCGGACATCTGAGCAATTTCATGCAGAGATGTCAATGCAATTCACATATGAAATCGCCAAAAATAGTGCAGGGATATTTTTCAAAATCAGTGCAAGTCGAAGTCACACCAATTTGAACAGTTCCATAGGCACAAATGAGGTGCAACTTGTCATGGGATTTTAAACTGTCAAATCACATGACAATAGCATTGGTGTGAACAGGGGCTTAAATTGATTAAAACATGGATGGAGAAAGTAGAGCAGTGAATGGTGTCAAAAGGGCTGTGTACTTTGTCATTAGGGCAGAGGATGGTGTCAGCAGAGCTGTGGATGTGTCAGTAGGGCAGAGGTTGGGGTCAGTAGAACAGTGGATGTTGTCAGTCAGTAGAGCAGTGGATGTATCAGTAGGACAGAGGTTGGTGTCAGTAGAACATTGGATGGTGTCAGTCAGTAGAGCAATGGATGGTGTCAGTAGGACTGTAGACTTTGTCATTAGGACAGAGGACGGTGTCAGTAGAGCAGTGGGGTGGTGCCAGTAGGGCAGAGATTGGTGTCACTAGGGCAGAGAACGGTGTCAGTTGGTTATTTTTATTTATTTTTTTTTAACAATATTATTTTTTATTTTAGTTTAAAATGTTTTTTGGAGCCAATGAGGACTTTGGTGAAATATCAGGGGTCTAAACAGACTGAGACAAAAAGATTGAGACAGAGAAAGGGACTAAGGACAGAGATTCCCCAGTCCATTTCTCTGCATCCTCAGCTTCACTATACAGTGAATGAGTGGGAAGTGCTCTGAGCTAAACAGCTTCCTGTTTATTTACAAATTGAATCATAGTAAATATCATTTACTATGCTTCAGTTATGAAAGAATGGTACTGATTACTCACTGTGTTCATTCAGAAAAGAAAGGGTCGGTAAATGATATATTTACCGACCCCTTCCCACACTCTCCATCTTGAAACATCCTCCACAGCTGCTGGCGGGGAGAGGAGAGGAGGGAGTTTGCAGCGCTGCGGGGGAAAGATGACACATGGTCATGGGAGATGGGGGTGACAGCAGGAGGAATCTGTGCTGCAGGGGGTGATTAGGCTGTGCCTAGGCACATCCAGTGCCCCCCTGCATACACTTATGCTAATCAGCCTTTACTGCAAGGAATAGTGTACAGGAGGTTGGCTGATAGAAGGGTACAGCACGGTGTCTAATGCATTCATGTGCAGCTGCTTGTTCTCTATCCAGTCACAGGCTGGAGTGTGGCTCCTTGACCAAGCTGTATTGAGAAGAGTGAGGTCATGGTCTAGCAATCCTGTGGGACACAAATGATTGGATTAGAAACCTGGCTGAACAGAATTACATATTTTTTGGTAGGTAAGACAGTAATATTTGTTCTTTGAGTCATTTTACAGTAG